CCTAATTAAACCTCTAGATCTAACTTCCAGTTACAGATCTACATAGAGAAATATATTCCAGATCTACATAGAAGGATGTATTAGACAACCTCATAAATAATAAGACAAATGCAGAATGAAAGTCATTGTAGGGGCACCTGGGTGGCTCAGTGGTTGAGCATCTGCCTTTGGCTCAGGTCATGATCCCAGGGTTCTGGAATCAAGTTCTGCATCAGGCTTCCCAAAGAGAGCCTGCTTCTTCCTCTGGTTATGTCTCTGCCTCTCTCTGTGTCTCTCATGAATAAATAAAAATAAAATCTTAAAAAAAGTCATTGTAATTAAAAAAGAGATAAGGGTTGTGATAGATTAAATGGATTATTTTAAACTATTTCTGGGGAGAGGTTCACTTTAGCATAAGCTTCATATTGCTCAAAAAGTACATATTATTCAAATATTTGTTTTCCTTTTGTGATTATTTTGTTTCAAAGATTATATATAAAAACCTATGGATTTTGAGTTTTGGGTTTTTTTGTTTTGGGGTTTGTTTGTTTTTACTAAAAACGACTTTCTAGGCAAGACTTAACTCTTTTTAAAGATTTTATTTATTTGAGATAGAGCGCACATGTGCTCTTGCACACTGAGGAGTACAGATGAGGAGATACTGAGATCATTCCAAGCCACCCCAGGAGCCTCAAGACTTATTTGTACTTTGAAGGAGCAATCTTCAAGATGTATTGAATATTGTCTAGTAATAGGTGATTTTAGATGTTTATAAGTTTTTTGGTAGGCATATTTTTTGTTAAATGGAAGAAGATCTATAAGACATTTATCATACATGTAAAATTTTTTTTTCTTTTCTAAGTTTTTCAGTTAGGAGTATTTGTAAAAGATACTGTGTAAAAACTTAGTCTTTAGGCAAAAGACATGAAGTTCTATGTTAATCTCATGTATGTTTATTATATTTAAAGAACAGAGCCAACTACTAGCCTATTTATTTCTTTTGGCATTTAAATCTTTTTTTAATTGAATTATACCTGACACAGAATGTTGCATTAGTTTCAGGTGTACAACAGAGTGATTCAGCAACTCTATATACTGTGCTCAGGATAAGTGTAGCTACCATCTATCACCATGCAGTGCTATTATAATACCATTGACTATATTCCCTATGCTGTACCTTTCATCCTTGACTTACTCATCCTATAACTGGAAGCCTGCACCTTACCTTCCCCTTCACTCTTTTTTGGCCCATTCCCCTACTCATAATAAGTGTGTTAGTTTGTGTTTGGAGGATGGGGGAAGGAGAGCGTGTGCATGCAAGAATAAGAAAGAAATAGATAATCCTGTAAAAAAAATAGGCAAGACTGACAATGCCAAGTGAAGGCAAGAATGTGAAATTCTCATACATGGTGGGCATGTCAGTTGCACAATCACTTGGAAAACTGACCATTTTAACAAAGTTTAATGTATTCCTACACCATAAACCAGCAGTTTCCCTCCTTGATATATACTCATCAGAACTGTATTTCATATGTACCAAAAGACAGATTCATAGCAGTATCAATTTAAGAGTCAAAAACTGGAAAATAGCATAAGTGTCCATCAGAAGTAGAATGAAAATGATAAATTTTGGTATGTTCATTTAGTTAATACTGTATAGTAATGAAAATGAATGAACTGTAGCTATACAAAACATGAATGAATCCCATAAATAAAATCTTAAGGCAAAAACCAGGCATGAGTGAATGTATACCATATGCTTGTATCTATATGATGTTTAAAAACAGGCAAAACTCGGGGTGCTTGGGTGGCTCAGTCAGTTAAGTGTCTGCCTTCAACTTGCGTCATGATCCCAGTGGCCTGGGCGAGAGCCCTGCACCAGGATCCCTGCTCAGCGGGGAGCCTGCTTCTTCCTTTCCTCCCCACTCCTGCTCTCTCTTGTTATCTGTACCACTCACTATCTCTATCTTTCCTTCTCAAATAAATAAAATATTTTTAAAACGAACAAACAAAACAGGCAGAATTATCAGTGATGTTAGAACTCGGGATATTACTCTGATGGTTATGTCTGTGGATGAATGGGGAAGTAGTGATTGGGAAGGAGCCACAGGGACGTCCTCCAGTGCTATTACTGACCTGTTTCTTTATCTGGGTGGTAGTTAAATAGATACGTTTATTTTCTGGAATTTATTATGTGTGTACTTCTCTGATGTAAGTTGCAGTTGAATAAAAATATTGTAAAAAGGAATGAGGAACTTGTTATGATATGGAGCGATCTCTAAGAAATAACACAAGCAAAATGAAGTGGTGTTTATATTATGAAGCATTTTGGTTTGGTTTATATTTATAGCATGCCACCTTTTTTCCTCTACCTCTGGTTGTTACCCAAGCCCCACTTCTTGGCCATCTGTTTTCCCTCCAGTTCAGTCTCAGGATATAAATTCCTATCTCTGTGCCCCTGGTGCCAACCCTAGTCCCAGTTTATCACTTTTTTTTTTTTATTTCCAACATTCTGTGAGATAGTTCCTGTTGAATATGTCATGGCTGACACAAAAATCAAGCATGTCCAAAACTTAAACTCATCTGTCTTCCTCCCTTATGTCTAAATAAGCTACCATCCTAATCTTACAATTTCCTTCAATTTCAGTATTTAAGCTTGAAATATGTTATTGTCAATCTAATTTTCCACTAGACATCCAATCTGTAAGTGTTGCCAACAATTTCAGCATTATGAAATGTTTTATTTCTATTTTCAAAGTTCCCATGATAAACCATTTGGCAAGCCACAGTAGGGTGTTCCAAGTGTTTCTGTCTTACCTGCAAATAGCATGTCCCTAAAATGTCACTGGAAGAAAATGTTTCACAGTTACATGGTGATGATGGTTGCATAACTCAATGAAAATACTAAAAACCACTCACTCATACCTTAAAAAAGTGCATTTTATTGTATGGGAATTATATCTCAGTAAAGCCATTATTAAAAACAAAAACGTCATTGAGAACATGTAGTGATTTCCAATGAGATTAAATCTCAGTTTTGGTCTTTCATCCAGAGCTAGCCATTCATCCAGCCTTACTTTCCTGTCTAGGCTTGGGAATTTTGTCAGCCATAACTTCTCTAAGTAGCCTGATCTCCTTGGTAACATACATCTTCATCTCTAGGAAGTGCTTTATGTAGAAGATTAATAATACTTACGACAGTAGTCAAAGCTATGGGTATTCTTTCTGTCTTAAAATTGGGGAACTTGAGTGAAGACAGAGTGATTTGTAAGCACTGTAAACACAGGGCTAGTATTAGAATTCATTTCAACTTAAAGATATTTATTGGGGCACCTGGGTGGCTCAGTTGGTGAAGCATCTGCCTTCCGCTCAGGTCATGATCCCCAGGATCTTGACTCAAGCCCACATTGGGCTCTCTGCTCAGCGAGGGGGCTTGCTTCTCCTCCTTCTGCCTGCCACTCCCCTTGCTTGTGCTTGCTCTCTCTCTGTCAAATAAAATCTTAAAAAAAAAAGATATTTATTGAACATCTTTTATGTACTACATTGATTGATGCAGTTGGGAGGTAGAGATGTATTTCAGCCCTTTGGTTGCTGTACCCAGAGAATTTACCTAAGTTGCATCTGGTTTCTCTCTGCCTCTGCTAGTCTTCTTTCCATCTCTAGACTGCTTTACTATAAATATCTGCTTTACTATTTATATTTTGTCCTTGTCATTTAACTTCAAAGCACTTCTAAACTCTCTTTCCCTCCCTAACCTTTTTTTTTTTTTTTAATTTTATTTATGATAGTCCCACAGAGAGAGAGAGAGAGGCAGAGACATAGGCAGAGGGAGAAGCAGGCTCCATGCACCGGGAGCCCGACGTGGGATTCGATCCCTGGTCTCCAGGATCGCGCCCTGGGCCAAAGGCAGGCGCTAAACCGCTGCGCCACCCAGGGATCCCCTTCCCTAACCTTTTTTAAACTGTTCTTCACTTTGAATTCCTTAAGATGACCAATTCTCAATATCTCTGTAACTTGCCACATTTTTCTTTGGTTGGCTTGCATTTACATCACCTCAGTTGATAAGAAAGCTTCTCTAAGACCTAAGTAATTAACTATAATTTTAAACATATTTTACATAATTCTTTTCTCATTGAGTTGCATTGTTCTGAACCCCTTGATACTTAGTACAATTATGTTGAATTAAATAGAAAACTCAGGCCTTTTCTTGAGCTTTAACCTGCTGGCCAGTTAGGAAGACCAGATTCACAAGAGACACACATCTTGTGCACAATTGTAAAGCACACCAATGTGAAAAAAACGTCAACTTGAATGGATAAGCAGTTCTGAGGAGTTGTTCTTCTGTGCTGTAACAGTTAACTGTAGCTTACAGTTGACTCCTGATATTTAGGCACATTATGACCTTAGTGGCTCCCACCTTTGCAGCTAAAATAATTACTAGATAGTGGGTTGGTTGATAGAGGCTAGTGTTCTCTGGGGTGGCCACTTACTGGCCTCTCCTTTAATATACCATTAATGTTAATGGACCAGTGTAGCACATGTTATCTCTAAGGATGATGAGCCATCCCAATCTTTATATTTTCCTAAACTTTGTAGGTAAAGGTAAAACAACGAAAAGCCCCTTCAAGTAAGCAAAGTAAAATGGAAGTAGCATTCTGTGTTATTAGAGGATACTGTTTTATGGAGGTGCTTAGCTGGCTCAGTCGGAAAAGCATGCGACTCTTGGTCTTAGGGTTTTGAGTATGAGCCCCACATTGGGTGTAGAGATTATAAATAAACAAACTTTTTTTTTTAAAGATATGGTTTATGCTAGAGTTGGTTCTCTTGCCACTCAAGTATCTTACCTGTGCTATTGAATTTATGACTGTATAGTTGGATGTCTTAAGAGTTGTCAATTCATCTATTCAGGCTGGTGTTCATCTATTCATTTTAAACACAGTCTGTGTCATCTTTGAATAATTACTAGAGCCAAAATAAAGAAAATTAAGCTTACTTGATGTTTTTTATTGTTGCTTTATAAGGCACAGTTGGTGGATCTGAAATCTGAACTGACAGAGACCCAGGCAGAGAAAGTTGTGTTGGAGAAAGAAGTCCACGATCAGCTTTTACAGCTGCACTCCATCCAGCTTCAGCTCCATGCTAAAACTGGTCAGAGTGTTGACTCTGGTACCATTAAGGCAAAACTGGTAAGTAGTTTAGAAGGTAACATATACTTAACATGTATTTTAGAGGATGAAGAGGACAGTTTTTAATGAGGCTTTTGAATATAGAAGGTAATATGTGCTTAAGTGTGGGAAATTTAGAAAACGCAGGAAATGGAAAGGTCTTCATGATCATCCACAGTCTCAGCACCTAGAGGTGAGAAGTGACAATATCAATAAGCAGTTGATACTTAGAATAGGATTTTTTTTCCTATTTGAAAATATCTGTGTAAAAATATTTAAAAGATATTTATAATTATAATATGTAAACAGTTTTTTGCCCTGTTGGGTGAGTTAGGATTAAGTTCATCTGCATATAACAAGTCCAGATAACACTGGGAATATTCTTGAATAGTACAAATTATTTTCTCTCAAGCCCTGAAATAGGCAGTACAGAGCTTATGTGATGGCTCTATAGATACTAAGTATCCGGTATGCTTTTTGTTGTTGTGTTCGCCATTTTTAGCTCATGGTTTCCATCCTTAGGATCTCTTTATTCTAGGCAGAAAGAAGGAAGAATCTAAGAAAAGGGCTAAAGGATGCTTCCAGGCTGCATTAGTGTTCTAGAGAATTTTTCATGAAATCCTCCTCAACAATTTTTGCCCGTCAAGTTAGCCATCTCATTGGCTATCCCAACTTGCATTTCAGCCTCTTAGTTGGTCACGTGGCCACCTCTAGTTCTGTTGAAAATGGAATTGGGTGCCAACCACTGGCATATTTTTTCCTATTGCTCTTATGAGCATTTTTTTCTGCCATTGAACATTTTGTAATGTTTGTATAATGTAAATGTATTGTATATACATTTTCCATAAGTAACCTTTGCCCTCTTAATATAAGTAGAAAAATTTTTTAAGTCTCATTTCAGCTTAATCTCATACTTGTTAAGTGTGCAAGTATGTGCCAGACACTTGGTTGACCATAGGGGACACAGCAGTAAGATAGATACAGCTTGGGAGAGGCAGGAAATGAAATGAGGATGATGATAGTCATACATTTTAAAATTTTACTTGTTAGAATTTATTTAAATGAATATTTACATTCTCCTTAAATCTTTTAAATTCAGAAATTCTATGAATCTAAGTTAGTAACCTTGTTCTCTTTAACTGAAATGAGTCAGATTTCTCACTGCTTTTTTGGGATATTTGATGTTTACATTGAGAAACAGTGTATACATTTTCACTAGAAAAGAGTTTACTTGAAGTTTTAATGTTAGATCTGAAGCAGAGTGCTGTAGTAGAAGGCACTGAACCAGGTGGGCTAATTTGGTAAAACAAAAAGTTTTAATCTAACACTGTGTAGTTACTGTAGGTTATGGATTTGCAAATATATTTGTTCTAATGAACTTTACCCAAATGATATTCAACGTATGGGAGTTTTCCTTATAATGATTATACCACTAGATAAATTCATTTGTTTGATATTTTTCTAATTATCAAACTTTTTTCTTATATCTTAAGTCTGTCCCCTCTGTGGAGGAGCTGGTAAGTATATTGTTTCTGTTTGGCTTTAATACGTTACGCTGAAGTGTTCTTATTGTCTTATTTGCATATTATATGTTGTCACTTTGTATTTGGATGTGATGTTCATGATGATAGTTTTTTAATCTTCCAGTACCTGAAAAGTTCAGTTGGTGGCCCATTGCTCTTTTCTCAGTACACGTTGTGAAAGATTTTTCTTTTGTTTGTGATTTATAACCATTATTTACAGAGCCCATCAATTTTTGACAACTTCTAAGCCTTGTAACTTGTTGAAACCTCTACTTCAAAAGAGCAATTGGTTTTCCCACTTGAGTATTTTGAAGATATATTAAGAAAACCTAGCTTTTTTCTCTTTTTCTATTTGAACTTATCCCCAGAGAAAGAATGTGCATGTTGGTTTCGTATTCATCTTCTGCATGTGTCACAACTTTTTAGCAGTCTTGGAATAATTGTGTGGCCTTTGAAACAACTGAATTTTGAAACTCTTTACCAGAACTTATTTTAGAAAATAACAATGTATAAATTCTTAATATTTTCCTCACTATGCTAACCTAATCAGGTTCCAGTTTGTCTGATGGCTTTATTTCTTTTGAAAATACACTGTTTGGCTCTCTAAATACAAAATGAGCTTCTTGCTTATTACCTAATAAATGGGCTAACTAAAGATTCATATTTTTTTTTCTTTAAACTAAAAAGATTAACTTCAGTTTTCTTAGTCCTATTCATGTTTGCGAATGTTATTTTCAGGCCTGACAGTTTGTCAGAATCATTGGGTGTTTGAATCATGAAAGCAAAGTGGTGACTTAATATGTGTTTTGTAAATTCCATAAATACTGTATAAATAGGTTATCAGGACAATTGTACATAGACAATTATCAATGTAAAGTTTATTTAGCCCATAAACCAAAGAATACTTGGTCTTCTGGAACTTTTTTTCTGAAACAAATAGCATTAACTTCAGTAAATGTCATAAGAAAGCTTATTGTTCATGTTATCCAAACTGTGGAGTTTTTTTGGAACTGATTCTTGCCTTTCAAGAAATATGCTCTGAAATAAATTGCAATTTTAATAATTCTAAAGTTGTAAAAGGATTCTAGATTATTCTTCAGATTCTTGAAAAACAGTAATCAAAGAGGCGGTAAATATATCTACCATTTGGTAATGACTCATTTTAGCTTGTATATTATTTTTTTGTGTTTAAGACTGTGGTACTCACTGCCTTATATTTGAATATGTCATATATTGATGTTTTAGTGTATCATTTATTGATATACTATTGAGAAAACAGTAGACCAAAGCAGACATTAGATTAGTACCAAAGTATATTCCAGAATTGTTAGAGGTTTGTTTGAATTTGTTTCTCAGCTTACTACCCGGAATAAAAAGGGAAATAATTACAATAATCAGTACCCATACAAATAGAAACAATATCATTTGTCGTTTGCTCAAGAGAAGCATTTTTTTTCTGGTGCTGAGCAAGACCTTTATTTAAGTCTCACAAAGGGGACAGGGTGAACAGTTTCTTCCACATCTCATCAACAGATACAGCCACATTTTCACAGGATTTATAGATTCTGTTTATCAGTAAATCGGTAAAAGCAGTTCTATAAGGCTGCTTATAGAATATAAGCATATAAAACATCTCTACTCAGGATAAATGGAAGTTTACAGTGTTTTGTTAATCCAAAACAACACTTAAAATATCTATCAGGGCCCTTATTCAACTCTTGGAAGAGTTTTATTTGGCCACAGAGCTTTTGTGTATTTGAGTTTGACTGCCTTTAGGTGGGATTTTGTACCTTCCATTTTCCACTCGACTTTGTCTTGTATTGGTCTATCTGTTTTGTGCTTGGGTCCCTGAAGGCATTTACATTGGTCACCCCTGAGTTGTAGGAGTAGACATATTGTACTTTATACTTTTAAGGTAAATTGAACATTATCTCTCATATGTAAGCTTGTGATAAAAATTGGATGGCAAAGATCTTGAGGTTTTATACTCTAGCTAACACCTGTAATTCACATATATAGACTCTCTACCAAGTAGAGCATTCTTTTATGAGAATTAAAAATGGATGTCCATCCTACCTCCTAGAAGGCAGGTAGGGCCCTGTTTTCCTCCACAAACAATTATTTTACTTCATTCACTTTGAATAGGATAGATGAATCACATCCCCAAAATCAGTGATAATCTGTACCATAGATATGGTCATGCAGAGAAATGTTTTAATGTATAAATTTTTCAGTACGTTTGTTACCAGCATTTTTCCATTACCATCAAACATTCTTTAAAAAAAATTAGAGTATCTGTTCTAATTTAAGCAGTTTAAGTTTCTGGTAGTCCTCTAAGGTAAATTAACCATAGAATCTGTGTAAGTGAAGAATTTTGACTTGTTTATAGAATTATTGCTTTAAAGTTAATTAAATGTTTGGATACAGCCACCAGAGTGATTTTTTTTTTTATTTTAGTCTAGTTTCTTGAGTCATTTTTAGAAAATAAATAGGGAGAAGATTCAATTATTCATTGCAACCACTCCTATTAGTGTATGTGACATAAGCTTAGAAAATACTAATTCATTCTTTTAGTATCCTCAGTGTCAGAGTACCCCAAGGCATGAAATTATCTTATGTGGAAGTGGTCCCAACACCTTCTGGTACTAGTTAAAAAGAACTGGATCCAAATCTTTGTATGTTCCATTTTATAGAAATGGTAACTTTTATCATATGCTTTCATTGTTGGCATTGTAACAGACTGTGCGCTTTTATGTATTTTGAGAAACATGGTCTGTTGCTAAAAAGCCTTAAAAAAGTATTTTCATTACATTGTGCGTGGGGGTTTTTTTGTTTTTGTTTTTGTGTTTTAAATAGGAGAGAGAACTGGAAGCAAACAAAAAAGAAAAAATGAAAGAAGCTCAACTTGAAGCTGAAGTGAAGTTGTTGAGAAAAGAGAATGAAGCCCTTCGTAGACATATAGCTGTTCTCCAGGCTGAAGTTTATGGGGCAAGACTGGCTGCCAAGTACTTGGATAAGGAACTGGCAGGAAGGTGTGTAAAAAATGTGTGCCTTGTATTCTTAAGTAGCTAGATATTTAGTGAGGTTGACTCTTACCTCTTATGGTAAATGAAACATTAATCTTTATCTTAAGAGTTATTTTATAGGGCAGCCAGGGTGGCTCAGCGGTTTAGCACTGCCTTCAGCCCAAGGCGTGATCCTGGAGACCCAGGATCGAGTCCCTGCGTCAGGCTTCCTTCATGGAGCCTGCTTCTCCCTCTGCCTGTGTCTCTGGCTCACTCTCTCTCTCTATCTTACTGTTAATATTGATAGCATTATATATTGTAGATTTATTTAGCCATACTACATAAGTATTTCTGGTTTACACATACACAAACACACACACACTGATAGGAGCTTACTCTGACATGCTAGTAACTCTAGATCTGCACCTTTCAGCCACTTCCTGCCTTGAAACCATAAAAGATGATGTTCACATGTATAGCCTTTCTTAAGGAATTCTTTCTGTGATCATTGAAATGTAATCTTTCTTGACTCTCCAAAACACTTTGGAATGACAGTGACTTTAATCATAATAATACGGTGCTCTCCTTGTATTAATTTTTTATAATCACAAAATTTGGTGATTTATTACTTTTGATAAATATTTTTTTACTTATTCACAGCACATTAAGAACTGATGTGAAGCAAATAAAAATAATTTATATCATGTTGAAGTGCACATTTTCTAGTAACTTTTGCCGTATTTAAAACAGTAATTTTGTAAAAAGAAACTGTCTTTTAAAAAAATGTTTTTGTACTGTTAGGCTCCTGTAAAGACTAATATTCAATAGTGCCCGAGTTTGTTGACCTATCCTGATTTTGTGCAAGACATGTTCATTGACATCAGTCTCAAAAATTTTTTAGATGTATTTGAATTAAGTGTATGGTTAGAAAAGGTTTCATTCATTCTTTTTTTTAAAAAAGAATAATTTTCTCTTGAAGATATCTGTTCTTTTCAGACTTTTGGTATGTTACAAATCTGAGAAACATCAGGAGGTCCTAAATGTATTAATTACTAACAGGTTTTATTACTAACAGAGATAGGTTTTCTGTTGAGGTTTATGCAAAAGCTACTGGTATCCAGTAATTCTTCGGAGTTCTCTCTGTAATAAAAATTATAATAATGAAAAACTAACTGAATTAACTGTTTTCTCAATATAAAGGGTCCAACAAATACAATTACTAGGGCGAGATATGAAGGGACCCGCTCACGATAAGCTTTGGAACCAGTTGGAAGCTGAAATACATTTGCATCGTCACAAAACTGTGATCAGAGCCTGTAGAGGACGAAATGACCTGAAACGACCAATGCAAGCCCCTCCAGGCCACGTATGTTTGTTTTGTTACTGTTTCATACTCAACCTCTTCCTTCTTCCTTTAGTCAGAAGTCCTTTTCATGGTTTTTATTCAGTAGTATTTAAAACCATTATTTTAAAAGTTAAAGTGGAATTAAACTTATTTAGAACAGATACATGAAGTTCTTAGTTGACTTACCTGAAATACCCTGAAACGATACTTCTGAAAACTGAACTGTTGCTAGCAGATACATATTGCTCGTACTTTGGCTCATATTTCAGAATTTTTCTGGATCATATTTAGGCATGTTTAAATTCATTTTTTAAGCTTATCAGAGAACAGGTCATGTTAATAAAGTGGCAAGTGTTTTGAGGGTAGTTCTTAAGGGAATTTTTGGTAACTAGATTCAGCTATAGTTTCTGAACTAATGTTTCCACCTGTTTGGTCTTGAATTAAGATGGAATTTGAGGTCCGTGTCCAATTGTCTGCTTCTGTAGCCATCATTGTACAAGAGCTTTTCTATCTGGATAAATCTTTATTAAATTTCATTACTACAGCTGTCTGATAATATAAGCCTTTCCATAATAAAAGCATGTCTGACTCCTTCCCAGTGGCTTACATATCTTATTGCCAGATAAACTATGGTCTTAAACAAGTTCAAGTATTTGTTATCTCTGCAAAGATTATTTTAAGAAGAATTGATAGGTACATGAAGTTGATGGGAGAAGAGTGCAGATTGCAAATAAGCCCTTTTGCCATTGTCTTCTCTGGGACTTTGGGGCACATTAAATTCTAGGTAGTGGCCAGATGGCAAGAGTTACTTAATGCTGCATAAAGGAGTATGAACTTTAACCTGATAATCATGGGATTTTTTAATAAAATGGTGGACTTAAGATTTAACATTATTTTGACATTACTTTGGTAAAGTGAAGAGAATATAACAGGAGAGGGCCTAACTAGAGTCGAGTACATTAGAAAGATACTATAGTAACCTGAGGAACAAGTGATGAACATAGGGGAAGTATATTTGAGAGAAAGGGTAGGTTTGAGAGAATTAGAATCAAGGAGATTTGGGGGCACCTGGCTGGCTGATTCAGTAGAGCATACCACTCTCAATCTCAGAATTGTGAATTCAGACCCCACACTGGGCATGGAGCTGACTTTAAAAACAACAACAACAAAAAAGAATCAAGAGGACTTGGTGATTAACTGCTTTTGGTTAAGTGGGTAAATGAGAAGGAAGAGTAGATTTTTGATGTGGGGAATTGAGTGAGTTGATGGCATTCACTGATAAAGCAAATAGAGGAAAAGGAAGATTTGGGAGGAAATGTGATGAGGTTTTAGACATGTGGTGTTTGAGGTGCCATTGCAACAAACAAAATATATCCAGTTGGGCATATGACTCTGGAATTTAGGAAAAGTCTGAGTTGAGGAAACACTAGGTTAATCATCTGTTATAATCAAAACCACAGAATTGATTAAGAAGCCAAGGAAGTACATAGAAAAGGAGCGCGTGGTGAACAGTATCAACTTTCTGCAAGGTTTAAATAGGATAGTGACTAAAAAGTATGCATTGAATATAGCCATGTTGGTTGCCAGTGACTGTGGAGGAGACAGTTTTATTTATTTTTTTTTAAAGGTGATTTTTATTTTTATTTATTTATGATAGTCACAGAGAGGGGGGGGTGCAGAAACACAGGCAGAGGGAGAAGCAGGCTCCATGCACCAGGAGCCCGACGTGGGACCTGATCCCGGGTCTCCAGGATCGCGCCCTGGGCCAAAGGCAGGCGCCAAACCACTGCGCCACCCAGGGATCCCAGAGGAGACAGTTTTAAAGAGCAAGTGGGGGCAAAACCCTGATTACAGTGACTAGGATAATGAATGTGGGAGGCAAGGAAGTAGATATCATTAGGATTAACTTTGTGTGAAGGTTGAGGAAAGGTGGAGGGAGGGTGGTATCTAAAGAAGATAGGTAATTGAAGGGTTTTTCTTTTGTTTTATATTTTCACATGGTCTGTATTTAAAGCTGGAAGAGGCTTAGAATTTGTTTATATGCTGGACAGGGAAGGAACTTAGAGAAGGAAAGAGTAAGGGTATCAGAGAAAGAATAATTAATGGAGAGTAAAGTCCTTTATTTAAGAGGTAGACTCCAGAGCCCAACAGAATGAAAAGTAATAAATGATCCAGTTGGCAATTTGCCTTTTTTTTAAATCTATAAACTAGTTAAAATGTATGTAGATCTTTATGATATTTTCTAGTGAAAATAAACATCTTACCACTTTTATTTCTTGAAGCTGTATACTTACCAGTTAATTCCTGGCAATAGTTTCCCTCCTAAAAAGGAGATGAATAAATATGAAAGAACCTGAAAAAGAAGGTCATCCATCCATTTCACTATATTAACAGAACAACTTTTTATTTTTCTATTTTATCTATTATTTTCTTAACATTTTACTGTATATCCATTCCAGGAAATTAATGAAGATTTCTAAAAGCAAGTTATATAGCATGGGTTTACTCCATTTGATGATATATCGTTTAAGGTAGTACTAATTTTTCTTCTTTTTTTTCTTCCAATAAGGATCAAGACACTCTAAAGAAAAGCCAGGGTGTTGGTCCAATTAGAAAAGTTCTCCTCCTTAAGGAAGATCATGAAGGCCTTGGCATTTCAATTACAGTAAGAAGTAGTGCTTCCAGTCTCCTCTTTTGTAGTTAACTAGTGTAATCATGCTCCAGTTTGGACATCCTTGGGAAACAAGTATTCTGGATATATCCCCTCCATAACTAAATTTATTTCCCTGGGCTCCAACACTTCTGTGTAAACTTTTTGTATGTAAATTTTCCTGATGACTATGAAGTATTACTTTAGTGAAATTATAACTTTATTAAGCATAATTTAGCATTTTCATTATGACTTGGTTTGTAGTTCTGTGGAATATCCTATGATTGCCACTAGGAGCCTTTGAGAATGGATATGACTGTTTTCTTCTACATTAAATGGCTCCAGATTGTATTGTTCTTTTCTCTTGTCTCATTTCTTTGTTGTCAGTTTTCATTGGCCCTTGAGTCCAAATAGTCTTCCTTTCTAAATTTGATGCCTTTACAAACAGTTGTCTTGGGCAGCATTTCCAAGAGCAGCCTATTATAAGTATATATATTTGGAGTCATTTTGTTGTCCTTATAGTGCTTTTGTTCCAGATGAATGAATAAGATGGCTTTACTCTTTCATTTGGTAATACTTAGATACTGCGTGAGTTCACTAGCATTTTGGTACTGCCTAATATGGAAATTTTTTTTATCATAAGTTTACCTGGTAGGTATTTATTGAATACCTACCTACCTACCTTTGTGAATGCACTGCCCTCAAAAAGCATAAATTTTAGGAGAAATAATACACATATATCACACACACAAATAATTATAATATGAGCTAAAAAGTTACCAAATTTCATCAATTCCGTGTTGCATATTTCTTCACATTTTAATATCTGAAATTGAGATTCCTCTTCTACTCTTAAAATGATTTTTATAGTACATAAAATAATGGTAGACCTTGTTATTTATAGTGATTTTGATCTGATAAAATCTAATAGTGCTGTGGACTATTAATATGTAAAATACTTTTTTTATGTTTAAGAGCTTAGCCAGTTGTAGTTTTTTGTTTTGGAGTTGGGTTTTTTTTGTTTTTGTGTTTTTTTTTTTTTTTGGCTTTGGAATGTGTTTTAGAAATGTATGTTATTGTTTTATTCAGAGATAACTCTCTCATACCCATAAGAATGTATTTACCATTACCTAGATAGCAAATAATATTTTACTCAGTGTTCATAGAAGATACTGAAATGTATTTTTAAGAAGATATTTTATTATTAGAATAGTCTGTGACTGTACAAAGAGTAAACTAATTGCCTTTTTTTTTTTTTTTTTTGGTTAGGGTGGGAAAGAACATGGTGTTCCAATCCTCATTTCTGAGATCCACCCAGGGCAACCTGCTGATCGATGCGGAGGACTACATGTTGGAGATGCTATTCTGGCTGTTAATGGAGTTAACCTAAGGGACACAAAGCATAAAGAAGCTGTAACCATTCTTTCCCAGCAGGTAAGTTCCTTTTATGTAATTAAAATTGGATCTATTGGTTGATTCTTTTTGAATCTACTGAATGTTATATTTCAACTTGAGGCTTCTCAAGTAGTAAAGTGTTTATATGTAGATACCAGTTCCCTTTGATTTGGGCCTTTTATAGAAGACATTTGTCCAGATTTACTGAAAAAGGTCTTAACTGCCTTTTTCCACAGCTCTATAACTTTGAGCAAGTTACTTAAGTCCTCTGCTCTGCTACAGTGCCCTTATCTGAGAGCTGCAAGGATTAAGCATGTTAATTCATATAAAGTGCTTAGAACAGGACCTGGTACTCAGAAAGCAAAACATCAGTAATGACTAAAACACTGTACAAGTAGATGGTATTATAGAAAAAGCAATGCTAGGAGCAGATTGGTTTTAGTGATAAATGTTAGAACTGAAAGAGTCCTTAGAAATCATTTAGCCCAAACCTCTTACTTAAAATGAGTAAACTGAGGTTCTTAGGGATTAAATGATTCACTCAAGGTTGCAGAGAAATTAGTAGAGTTGGGATTCATACCCTCAACTCCTGTTTGTTTACTTAAGGTGGACTTTTTGATTTTTTTTTTCCTTCAAGAGTAAGGTTAAAGAAATTAAGAGAAATGTTGATAGTATATTGAGATGTGTTTGGATCATCAGTGTAGAATTGAATCTGAGTTGAAAGTGAATTTATAGCTCGTTTGGTTCAACTATATATGTTGCGTAAATCTCTACAGTGTCACTGATTAAATATTTATGTTAAGGGGGGACTTGATAAAGTAGTCCATTCTATAGTTGTACATTGCGGTTTTTTTAGAAAGGTCTTCCTCATATTAAGCCTAAAAGCTGGATCCATGACTTCTGCCCACAGACCTAATTCTTTAATCTAGAACTTTACTGAATACCACAGCATTATCCCTCTGTCTCCCCAAAATGGGATGTTTAAAGTATTATCTGCTAAGAGAGATTGAAAAATGTAACCCTAACCTCTTTCAGTTAGTGTTTTCTCAACCCAACTGGGCCACATCCAGTCGCTATAAGAGTGAGATGAATGGCAGCTGTGGTAAAGGAAATACAAAGGGGCAGTCACACGCTTTTTGTTTTGTTTTGTTTTTTGTTTTTTGTTTTCAGTCACATGCTTTTAAAGAAATGCTAAGCATCTATTAAAATTCTGAAACATAACCTTAAACTGCCGAGAAAGCAGAGTACCAACAGACTGACTTAGTGGCAGTAAAAAAAAATCAGAGTTGCAAATGCCAGACTTGTGTGTAGTGATTGTAGTCTCATTAAATGACTTGGAATGTTTTTTTAAACATAAAATAATCTTTTTTGCTTGAACATAAGTTTTATTAAAGAGTAGCAGTGTGAGGCAGGCGTCTTGGTGGCTCAGTCAGTTAAGTGTCTGACTCTTGGTTTCAGCTTAGGTCATGATCTTAGGTTTGTGAGATCGAGCCCCATGTTGGGCTCTACACTCAGCAGGGAGTCTGCTTGAGAGTCTCTCTCTCCGCCTCTCCCTCTGCACCTCCCCCTGGCTTGCACTTTTTCTCTCTCTTTAAAATAAATAACTAAATCTTAAAGAAAAAAAAGAATAGCAGTACAAATATTCATTTGTTTATTTATTTTAAATATTTTTTAAAGTTTATTTTTTAAGTAATCTCTGTCCTCAACATGGGGCTTGAACTCACAACCTGAGATCACTCGTCACCTGCTCTTCTGACTGAGCCAGCCAGGAGCTCCCAAATATTACACATTTTGTTTAGTAGAAAGGCCAAGGACTTTGGAGTCAAATTCCTGTTTTTCTATTTTACATGCTCATCATATTGGGAAAATTATCTGCTCTTTGCAGAATCATTCAGGTTTCTGCCTCATGTAAAAGATACTGCACTACAATAGAGAAATTTTGAGGATTGAATGATACAGTTTTACACAATTAATAAAATAATTACTTATTAACACTGTAGTACTCAGTGAAAGTTACATAAAGGTTCAAGACCTATTCAGTAAGAAACAAATCATTGTATAGAGGTTTCTTGAATTAATCAAAGAAAAGTTTGTGTGATGCTCTTCAGTGCTAATTTAGTGTCTGACTACTTAGATGGATTTCTTGAATTGCTGTGTCAAGTATAAAATGGCAGAATGACTTTTAAACTGAACATTTGTTCTAAAATTGTGTAAGTTGAGTAGTTAAGCATCCTTTTTAGGTTAGGTCTGTTAGCAAAAATACTGTGACCAGTACAAAGAACTACTGTAATGTTAAAAGGAAATTACTTAGGATTCATGGAGTTGGTCTGGATGTAATGACCTCTCTGTGCTTTTTCTACCTCTTGAGATTCTAGAATTTCATTGTTGTCTTGAAAGGAGCTACATCTGAGGTCTACATTTTTTCATGCCTGTCACTCATCCCAAGGAATTTGGAAAACCATTTTTGAGTACAATCACAATAACTTGACTTCCCCATTTTCTTTTCTCATTATAGAGAGGAGAGATTGAATTTGAAGTAGTTTATGTGGCTCCTGAAGTGGATTCTGATGATGAAAATGTAGAGTATGAAGATGAGAGTGGACATCGCTACCGTTTGTACCTTGATGAGTTAGAGGGAGGTGGTAATCCTGGAGTTGGTTGCAAAGACACGAGTGGGGAAATCAAAGTATTGCAAGGTAAAAATTGCTTCAAAAGTTATTATTAATTATGAATTAAGAATGGACAACTGGAGAAAAATCCATTTTAATTGACTCTCTAAGCCTCAAAAAATTCTGTATGTAAATCTTGGAATAAAAATGGTTAAACCAGTCATCATCCTTTTTTAATACAGGATTAAAAAGAAGATTCTTTTTTCTTTTCCAGTGATGCTTCAAACAAAAGTTTCATAGTAAAGTTCAGCATGTATATACTTAACTGACATTCATAAAATGTTCCACAAAAAAACTCATAAATAAAAAGATGAATATGTGTTTTTTAAAAGTCATTAATGTATTTTTTATTATTAATAAACTTAAAATACAGAATTTTAGATTTCTTAGTAACACTTTTAATGATGAGGAAATCATCGTTAACAGAATGAACAGCTGTCCTTTGCTTGTAATTTTATTGCATTCTGGTCACAAGGCCAAAATTTTATTTACATAGTTCTTCTAGATTCATTTTGTATTTTTATTTACTTTTTTTTTTTTAAGATTTTATTTATTCATGAGAGACAGAGAGAAAGAAAGAGGCAGAGACACAGGCAGAGGGAGAAGCAGGCTCCACACAGGGAGCCTGATGTGGGACCCGATCCCAGGTCTCCAGGATCACATCCTGGGCTGAGGGTGGCGCTAAACTGCTGAGCCACTGGGGCTGCCCTCATTTTGTATTTTAAGACAAGTATATTACCAGTTATTGAACTGCAAGTAATCCTTGAAAAATAAAATTCAAGTTTTCTAGATTCTGAAGTAAAGACTGATATATATGCCTTTTAGAGTGATATATCTTACTGTCATCTTGTGTGTTAATGCAAATTCTCTCATGATGCAATGATTTGTAGACTAGTATCAATGTTAGACCATTGTCTTGTGATTGTTATTAGAATCAGGGTATGTGACCTTGAAGGTTTTGGGTTTAGTTCCTTTGTTATTATTTACACATATTTTAAAGAAAAATTCTAGCCCTTTTACCTAGAGCAGTTCTTAAATTGTGATATGTGAATCACTGGGGGTCCTTGAGACCCTTCTAGAGAATTAATGAGATAAGAACTGTTCAAATTAGGGGTGCCTGGGTGGCTTAGTCTGTTGTGTCTGACTTCAGCTCAGGCCATGATTTCAGGGTCCTAGGATCGAGCCCCAAATCAGGCCCCCTACTCAGCAGGGAGTTTGCGTCTCCTGCTCCTCCCTCCCCCATTCGTGTTCTCTCTTTCTCTCAAATAAATAAAATCTAAAAAAAAGAAACCCTGTTCATACTAATGCTAAAACAGTGTGTGTGTGTGTGTGTGTGTGTGTGTGTGTGTGTGTGTGTGTGTGTTTTCTGAGTTGATATTTACAATGATGGTGCAAAAGCAGTGGGGATAAATACAGTTGCCTTAGTATGAATAATGGCAGTGGTACCACAACTGGAGGAATCATTGTTTCTTCCTTGCTATCTGTCTACTCAGGGTAAAAAAAGAAAGAAAAGAAAATGCTAGTTTTATGAAATAGCAAAACTGTTCATTTTATTAAATCTGGTTTTTTTTTTAAGATTTTATTTATCAAAAAAAAAAAAAGATTTTATTTATCTATTTGACGGAGCAAGAGAGCAGGGGGAAGGAGTAAAGGGAGAGGGAAAAGCAGACTTCAGCAGGGAGCCTGAAGCGGGGCTCAACCCCAGGACCCCAGGATCATGACCTGAGCCAGAGGCAGACACTCAACTGACTGAGCCACCCAGGCACCCCCATTTTATTAAATCTTGATCCTGGAGTACATGTCTTTTTCATACCGTGTTTTATGAGCTGGGAAGTATGCATAAAACACTGAGTCTCTATGCTGAACTAAGATGCTACTCTCAAAGAAAAGCATTTAAGTGATTAAGTCAGCCAGCTGAACTGGCCATTTTTTTTCATGGAAGACAATTTTGACTTGAAGAATGACTGACAGATTATTGGTTGTTCAGATTATTGGCAGCCATTTCCTTTAAAAAGAACAAAGAGAGCCCATCACTTCAGGGAAAACAACTGAAGTATATATTGCCAGTGATAAAATTTCAGCTTTCAGGTGACAGTTAGAATTTTGTAAAACATTTATCAATCACCATGAACTTGACAGCTTTCCAACACTTAACTTGTGTAATAAGATTGGTAGTGATATTAATAAGTGTTTTTTTTTTTAATAGTAAAAATGGAATGTCAGCTCCTGGAATAGCTACATAACTCAGGATCTATTATTTTTCATATGACCAGTGTATGATGTTATAAAATCCTGCGTGGGTAAAATAGCCACTCAAACTGCAAGATAGACAAATGGATTTTAATATAATAGTGTGAACAGTTCAAGGATAACGGTTTCAAATTCTGTGGTGTCAAGTCCAATTTAGGTATATCAAAGAAGAATACTGACAGTATCCAAAAAGCCTATTAAAATTAGTCTTCCCTTTTCCAATTATATATCTTCGTGAGGGTGAATTTTTTTATTTACTTGTAATAGATGGAGCAGAGGCAAATAAGAAAATCCAGTTATCTTCTAGAAAGCCAGACTTTAAGGATAATTGCAAAATTGAAAATAATGCTCCTCTTCTGTCTAAATTTTTGGAAAATGGGAGTTATGTTCACCAAGACAAATATGTCATTTATGCTAACATTTATTCGGCTTGTTTTCATTTTTAACAAAGTAATTTTTTTAGATTTCTCATAAGTTTCAATTACTAATATGGTTACACATCAGTAACCCACATAACATTCATAAACCACATGAAAAAAATACTCTTTGGAGTCCACAATACTTCTTAAGAGTGTAAAGGCATCCTGAAAACCAAAAATGATAACTTCTGGCATAGAGATACATAGTAAACTGATGAACTGATATTCTTTTGGTAAGCCTGGATTTTATGAATTATCTACACATAGATAGCAGTAGCAATTGTGTCCTCCTCATGCATCTGGAACAAAACTATTGTGGCAGTATGTTAGAACTTTACACTGTTGGGCTGCTTTTCCTATGATTTCATTGTCTTTCATCCTTTCTACTATTTTCTATCCGATTTGGAAGGCTTCTTCCCTTCCTTTTTTGGCAGCTGAGGCTAAAAGACTTCTCTGTCACCTGTGTAAATTGCAGACCACTTAAAATGTGACTCATCTAACCAAAATGTATGCTCTCATATTAACTATTAACAGACTCAAATCACACACACACAAAAAATGTACCTATTGGTTATTGTTTAGCACATGTCCATACTTCATAGCTCACTAAACAGATGACCTAATCAACTCTGATTTATTTGCAAGCCTAGTGTCTATTCTTTAGATTAACCAAGATTTGTTTTAAACTTTATCTGGACATTGTCTTGTTAAAAACTTAGATATTTAGCAATAAGCTAACATGTGCTTCAGAAGTTAAATAATCTGAAACCAAAATGTAAAAGAAACATATACTTGACTGTTGAATATGTATTTGTATAAGTAGAATTAATATGTAGATTTTATAATTGTGTGTCATCTAAGTTTTGTGGAAAGTCTGGTAGGAAATTATATAAAACTTTTTGATAGGTCCAATAGAGAATATCAAAATATCTGTACAGTGTTTGATATCTGCCAGAAGAGGGAAGAATTCCTTTGTCAGAAATTACCTACTTGATTAATTTAGGGCCCCATTATTTGCCTCATTACTGTTATTAATTATAGTGGGCCTTCCTTTGTCTTTGCTCAATAAAGTTATAAGACTTTTTTTAGATTAGAAAGTATCTTTTTTTTTTTCCTCTCTCTCTCTCTTTCTTTCAGGATTTAATAAGAAGGCAGTAACTGATGGACATGAAAATGGAGACCTGGGAACTTCAAGTGAAACTCCCGTAGAAGACAGTGCTTCTAAACTAGACGACTTGCACAGTCTGTATCACAAAAAATCATACTAAATTAGACTGTACCTCTGGACAAGAATGTTGATCAGACTCTTCCGAGTTTGGGGCACTAGGGAAACGGTGACAAAGACATATAAAGATCAAGGGAGGCTTGTAGCCTAAATGAAAGGCGGGTACCTCAGGGCTTCATGTGAACAATTCTAAATGCATAAAACTCCCTGTTTTCTGTGGTATACCATAATTAGCTATTGCATGTAAAGCGACTTTGATTTTCTTAAAAATGTAAAGCACCAAAGCATGTGTTTCCCAAAGGGGTATTACTAGGCTCTTAAGTACCAAATGAAGCACTACTGTTTTATTTGGCTCCTTTTCCATTTAGTAGAAGGACCGTGCTAACCGGAATTTTATAAGAAATAGCCTTTAAATACAAGAGAATAAATGAATTCATATTATATATTCCAGAATGTTAAGTGTGGTATTTCAGAGACAGAACTTAATGAATTACAGAAATGTAGGCTTGACTTAATTTTTTTTAACTAAAAGAATGGTTTTAGTTTTTTTTTTAATTTATTGTGCATCCTGATATCTAAATCAGTTCTCAATGATCATTTATTGTAATGTTTGCCTTTCAGCTTTATTCAATGCAGTACAAAATAGTTTTCTTTAAGCAATCCTTTATCAATCAATGCTGCACTAGAAATACTTCCTGAAAAGTTATCGTACATTGTCTTTCCTGGTTTTTAAAAGAAATGCAGATGAGTATAAAATATCTGTTCTCAATTATGTTGATCTATGTGCATGGTATTGAAGCATTACATTATTAATGTTTAAACTCTGATTTTTTTTTTCTGGGATCCACAAAATACAGTTTTATACATTTTGAGTTGTTCATAAAGTTTGTCTTGTTGTGATAGTCTTGGCACTTAACGATATGTCTTTTCTGGCAGTAAAAGCTCAAATTTGTCAGTTATTATATGTTTGGTCCACACAGCAGTTTTGTCTCAAAGTATCTTATTCGCCAGTCATCTAAAAAGCTGAGGCACTGGTGGGCAAGTTAAGATAGAGATGTTTTGATACAGTAATTATTTTGGTTGACTTTTCATCTCTCAGTGTTTGCCTGACTTAAATCCTCTCATATGCAAACTACAGATTTGTTAGTTCTCTTATCCCAGGATTAAGCACGGAAGGCCTGCTCTCTTACTCTTTGTAGGCCATTGTACGCTGCTGGGGAAAGTGAAAACATTGCATTAAAGAGGTGATAATTTTGCCAATATCACTGTTTTTTGTTTTTTTTTTAAAGGATATATGTTTAAGGGACTATTAAGTGGGGGACAAGCCTACAGGGCTTTTAGAGTATTTACCAGTATCTTCATGTCTAATATTCTGTTGTTACGTGAACACATTTTTTTGTCTTTCCTAGATGCACTATATATTTGTTCATAGGTAAATCTATATAATGTATATACTTTATTTGGTGGTTTTGCTATTTATAAATTTTATGTTTTAACTATTGCTCATTTATGGTTTGTTTTGGATGGTTTTGTTCATCTGTATATCACCATGTTAGTTTGTAATAGAAATGCACTTCATAGTGTGTTTTGTTACTGGTACTAAAATACCTTGTAGTGTAACGTTGCCTCCCACCAAAAGCTAGTGTTTAATTGTACAACCAGATTAACAAGCTACATGTTGTTTGCTCTTGACAAGTTAGGCCTCTTAAAAGAAAGAGATTTTTTTCCTTATGCATCCCCCCTACACCAAACACATATGCCAGGCATGACGTGAGATCTGCAGACTGGAGTTGGGTCAGTATATTCATTTGGCCAAAAAAATTTCCACTGTACCATATCTGAAAACATTTTTGTTGTGACCTGAAACCATGTTCTTGCTTTTTTTTAAAACACAGCCTGGGATGGGGTGACCATGGCATTTTTTTCAGAGAATATCCTTTATTTACTAGACGGGATCCTTAGGAGATATTAGCTAAAACCTTTTGATTTTCAAGAACAATCTAAAAAAGTTCATGAGTTTTTTAAGAACCTTGAATTGGCATTTCTCTGAAGATGCTGTGTAGTATGGATTCAAGGGCTGAAGAGCAGAATGAAATATCTTCAGGCAGTTTAGGATTGCCCAGGTCCATTCCCTTTTCCTTCCTGCTTCACCTTGGTTTGCAAAGTCTACATGAGAACCCTGTGCTACCGTGAGCTTCCTGGCAGGTATTTAGAAAGTACCCAGTTAAAGGTTATTTTAGACTATATGGTCTCTGGGGGATGAGCTAAGAATTATAGACTAAATGAGAAGCAGTTTTTACATTTTCATATTTATTGGGAAGAAATTCCTAGCACCCAAGTTTCTAGGACAAAACCAAACAGAAAAGAGAGAACTGTCGGAAAGCCACTATAGTTAAGAAGGAAAAAGAAAAATATACGAATATGCACACACAGAGGAGCTGAGAAAAAAATGTTCAACAGTGTGAAGGGGGTGTGTTAGTTGTGTACTTACATTTTAGCCTCTAAAATTCTCTTTTGCGGTATGTGTTATGAATATAATGGAGCAACCACATTAGGTTTTGAGGCTTGTTAAAAACGGATTCAAGAGAAATGAAATATGAGTCTTGTTAATTATAACTGAACAGTTGTCAGAAGGTAACACAGCTTGTGCTTGGTGCTGGTTTTAGTCCCCACACGTAGACTTACTTTGTTTTCATGTTGAGAAACCAAATACATTGATTCCTGTGTAAGTCACACATTATTTGACATCTTTATTATGTATTCTGTTCCACCTATTCAGTCTTCCACTTAGGGTCGGCCTCAAATCTATAGGATCTATGACAAATGTATTATATCTAGTTAAGTTGAGTTTAATATTTTTTTATTAGCCTGTAAATAAAGATGGCATCTTCTACATTAAAATGGTATGGATCTCATTTTTTAAAAAAAAAAAATATTTTAAGTGTCTTTCACACTAAATATTTTGGTTTATTTCTAGTAGCTTCTATCTTTTATACTAATAGGCCATAAAGTCCATGCAAAGGCTGAAATCTAGTTACTGTAGTGGAACAATTTTTTTCTTTTAAGGAATTAGTGGTTTGATCTTAGAACTGTTTATTTTGGGTTAAAAACATGATCATGGTTGGAAGGAACTGTCAGAGCAACTGTGGGACCAGTGTTTTGTTGAAATTTAGCAGATGGCAAAGGCTCTAGGCTCTTTGGATTAGTTTTGTGTTACAAATTTTGATAGTCTATGTTGTCTGTTGTCGATAACATTGAAACAAATTAGAAAACCAATCCTATTAGAGACCATGTAGGAGGAAATTCTTCCATTTTATCATCTGATCCTATATAGTTTAAAAGTTTCCAAATTATGTGTAAAATTTTTAGAAACATCTGTAAACGTTTCTTTGCTTTAGAAGTTTTACATATGGTCACTTAACAGTCAAGCTAAGAACTAGGTGTAAAATGTGTAGAAATGCCTTTGTTTTGCTAAGGGTGTTTGAGGTCAATCAAGATAAACTTACAAATGGTATTTTACTCTTAGTATTAATGAATATAAATAGTTTAGAAAATTACTTATTGTGAACTAAATTTAGAAATACTTATTCTTTGTCATTGATTAATCTTGATTTAGTCCTGATACAATATGCTGTCTGTGAGCTTAATTAAGCTCCCAGTTCACCAAGCAGTTTGGAAAAATCTTTTCCCCAGAACTCATCTGTGTAGGATGTTGTTCAATTTATGAAATGTAAAAGATTATTTACATTCTCATTGTAGTCAGTGTTCTGTTTTAGGTGGTTTTGTAACTTTTTTTTTAATTAAAAGTACTGCAAGTTACCATGCACTGTTGGTGCTAAATATCTGTTTGCTAATAAATCATTTTCAGGTGTATTTTGACAGCTGTAGCCCCAGTGGTGGCAGCCAGGAGAATGCATCTCCCAGATTTCCAGCGGGAGGACCATAGTGACTCCAGGCTCGCCCAGCTGCTGCACTCTGAAACCCATCCCAGCTTCTCCAGCTGCTGCCAGCTGATGAATGATCACGACAGGGATATTATGACCTCTTGCCTTGGGCTTGAGGACTCCCTGATAGTCTTACCAGACTCTCGTAGGATTACATTATAATCTAAGTGGCTTTCACCCAACTTTCCTTCCTTTAGCTGAGCTCAGACTTGCATCGGGGTCTGGTTGCTTCCAGCTTCTCACCAAACCCAGCTTCCTCTCTCTCTTTCCTCACCAGCATTGCTAATAAATCTATTAAACAGCACATCCCTTTGTGGTCTTGGTGCCTGCTTCTTGAAGGACCCAGCCTAACACAGGTAGACCAGGAGTAAGATCCAAGGAAACAGGTTAATAGGTCAGGGACTGGCACATCTCCCACCAGAGGGTGAAGAGGGTGATCTCCAGATCAGTAAGTGGTTGACAAGAGGGATTGGCTCAGTATTTCACAGAGAGTGTGCCTGAACCTTACAAAGGTTTACCTGCAGAGTTCACCTTTGGCTAGTATCCAGCAATTTAGATCTCAGGAGTGTCCTCCCTCCCCCGTTCCCTGATTATGGGTGGTTAACTATGCCTGAAACCTTTGTACGAACAATAAGATTTATGTTGAACACCTGCTTTCCTTCTGGGAATATGGAATTTTGATACATGTTTGGTAGAGAGTGCCTGTGTGACTGAGCCCAATAAAAACCCTGGACTCCAGGCTTGCCCAGGCTCAGCCAAGCTTCCTTGATGGATAATATTTTATGTATCATACATCATTGCTGGGGGAATTAAGCTCATCCTATGTGACAAGATTCCTTGGAGCTTGTGCCTGGTTTCCTCTGGACTTTGTTCAAGTGACCTTCCCTTTGCTGATTTTGCTTGGTGCTCTTTCTCTGTAATAATAGTTGCGAGTGCAGCTCTATGCTTAGTCCTGTGGGTCCCTCTAGCACCCCCTCCCTCTGAAACAATAACTGTCCCCATCTACTCTCCTGGCTGCCAGGCCAATAACTAGACTTAAATCCTAGCACAGCCTGGCTGTAGATGTGTTGGGCCTAGTAAGGGAGAAAAGGGACTAAATATCAAAAGTGTAAGAATTAGCTAGCATAAACTGGCAGGTGCCACAGACGTGCTACTGGGATTGAATTTTGAGAGGGATTGATCAAGGGCTAAACACCTGCACCCGTTAAAAGAATTCAAATTGGAAAAAATCCACACCTAAAATATAAGGATACAGAAATTCTGAAGTGAAATAGCAAAAAAAGATATCCTGGGCATATATTCTCCAAAGGCTAAAAAATAGTGAAAGGGAATAAAGGGGAAAGGAGGAAAAAAAAAATGAGTGGGAAATATCAGAAAGGGAGACAGAACATGAAAGACTCCTAACTCTGGGAAATGAACTAGGGGTGGTGGAAGGGGAGGTGGGCGAGGGGTGGGGGTGACTGGGTGACGGGCACTGACGTGGGCACTTGACGGGATGAGCACTGGGTGTTATTCTATATGTTGGCAAATTGAACACCAATAAAAAATAAATTTATAAACAAAAAAATATTCTCCAAAGGCCAGCTGAGGTAATTATTCATATCAGAGAAACTAAGCTTCAAGGGTGGGGGGCGGGGTGGAGTGGGGAGCATTACCAGGGATAGAGAAAACTACTTAAATTCTTAAAGAATCAACTCACTACAAAGTTAAAATAATCCCAACCTTGTATATACCAATTTAAAATAGCTTCAAAATATATAAAGCAAAAAAATAACAGAACCACAAGAAAATTATAAAAAGCCATCCCAGTAGTGGAGGTTGGTGGCAACAAAACTTTCAAAAGAATTTGGGGAGGAAGGAAGATTTGAACAGCAAAAGTAACAAAAGTTACTTAAAAGTCTTACAGTTCAAGGTAAGATGGTATTTGTGAAAGACCTCTGGCTTATAAATAAGGTAGATGAATGAAACGCTAAGAAGGAAAATTAGATCTACAAAACGTAGAAACAGTTTATGCTTTGGAATGGTAAAATTTGCAACTTGTCAACCTGCCAGCAGGGGGCAGCAGATTCCGACTGTGATATTCTACCGCCTGTGTTAGAGCGGGAAGGTTTGATGAAGATCGTCAAATAAAATACTCTTTATGGAGAGGATGAGTAAACTGAGAATGAGAAAGTTATATTCCTGGTCCAGGATTACACGGCCAGTAAGTGGCAGAGGCAGGACTCCAATCCCTCTCTCGATTGTACTTTAACAGGCCACTTTCAAAGGGCGAAAGGGAAATACAGATCAAATGGTCAGCTTTTCAATCTTCCCCAGTA